TGGTGCACCACAGAGTGGCGGGTTAATATAAAAAGCCCTCTAATGAGAGGCCCTTGCTTTATATATAAATCCCTCTAGTTAGACATTGCACAGCTTATACAATTCACGGGGCACTCACGTGTGGGTACGGCTACCGCTTCAGACAGCAGACAGTGAGCAGCGCATCGAGCTCGACGAGCTCGACGGCGATCAGAGCAAGAGCAGACCGTTGACCCATTTTGGTATCTGACTAAGCCTGGCCCAATCCGGAAAGCAGCGACGGCCGACGTCGTTCCCCACGACGGCAACACCTATAACCTCAGAAAAATGCTTAAAAATCGTTAGAAAAATCGTATACATCAGTAGAAAGTGATATAGAGTAATACAAGCAATAAAGAAAGCTACAAAACACATCATCTCAGGCCAGAGACTCTTCGACAAATGAAGCCGCTACTCTCGCATTCCTGGGGACCTCCCCAATCGGTTCGTCCTCATCGTCCTCCTCCTCATTGTCGTCCTCCTCCTCCTCCTCCTCCTCCTGCCCTTCATTCCCGGCAGTGCCCGCCTGATCCTGGGGCACCTGTCCCAGACCCGCCCGCCCGAGTGCTATGTAGCTCGGAACGCTCCTCCAGTTCTCCTGGAATCGGGCGCGCAGGGCCAGGGTCGTCTGCGCTTGCCGCCGCGCATACGCAATCAGCCCCTCCTCCAGTACCTCATCCAACCCCGTCGATAGCCTCTCCTCCATCCGCGCCTCCCACTGGTCTGCCTTCCAGCGAAGGAACTCCAAGACGCGACGCATCTCCTCCTCCACAAGGTCCACCTCCTCCGTCCATCGGTACGCCCGTGCGCGCGTTTTCGCCCACTCGATTTGCAAGGCCTCCCCCAGTCCCTCCTCCTCCTCCTCCGCCGAGAGCTGCGACCGCCAAATCCACGATGCAGGCCTCTCCTCGTCCTTCTTCTGCTGCATCTCCGCCGCCCACGGTGTTGGATTCCCCCTCTTCCTCTTCTTCTTCCTCTGCTTGTGCTGCGGATCGCTGAAAGTCGCGCGCGGGCGTTGGCGGATGTCGTCCTGCGCAAGAACGCGGAGCTGGTTCTTCCACTCCGTCTCCTGCAGCACTGGGCCCAGGTTCACGAGAGCAGCCCGCGCGACCCGGTAGTCGGCGGCCCGCTCGCCGCAGACGTTCGTCGATGCTCTCGATGGAGGTCTTCGCCCGGGTGTTGGGCCCCGTCCCGCGCTCGAACCGATCCTTGTACTTGTATTTGCCAGTGCGGACGAGCAGGAGCCGCCGAATCTCCTCCAACGCCGCGTGTGCGTGCCCGACGCGAAGCTCAAACTCAAACCTGGCGTGGCTCGACTTCACGGCCACCGTCGACCTCATGGAGGCGAGTTTCGACGGAAGCCAGAGCTGCGTCGCATGGACGGGCACTGCTGGAGTGGGGTGAAGTCCAGCCTTCGCCGAGCGCGCCTGATCATCCTCCGCACACAGCTTCGCCACCACCGGTGCGAAGGACTCGCGGATTTTCAGCCACTCATTAACCTTCCTCCCCAGCTTGTTCGAGCGCTCCTGGAGCGCTGTCTTCTGCCGATCCGTCGCGTGCAGCTTGACAGCACCGGAGTCGAAAGCGAGGTCGCGTTGTAGCTTCTCCAGCTGTATGCCCATGTCCACCATTTCGTGCGCGTGTAGGTCACCCCTCACGTCATCCTCAGCGTCTCCTGCCACCGCTGTCGCCGCCTTCGCCGCCAAGCGCCCGCGGATCGCATAGACCCCCTCGTGCTTCTCTGTGACCTTGAATGGGTTGGGGTTCGCCGAGTCCTCCTCCCACAGCTCCATTGCCCGCGTCCATGTCTTGACCACATCCGCCGGTAAGGCCAGCTCCGTCTCTAGCAACTCGAGCCGATGCGTCGCCATATTGTCCACCGCTTTCTTCGACCTCTCCAGCAGAAACTTTCCCAGCCCCACGATTTTCTTGTGATTCCAGTCGTTGAAGTGATCATCGAGGGCGTCGCGTCGAGCCCCTGGACCCATCTCCTTGGTGCTGCTCGCCAGCGGGTTCACGTTCGCCCAACCCCTCTCGGGGGCCTCGCCATCGGTCTGGGCGACGAAGGGAGTGAGGTTGAAGGAGAAGAGGATATTGCATGCCTCGATGTGCGCAGGTAGGTGGAATTTGGGGATGAGCCAGCAATAATATCGCTTCGTTCCCCGCAGGCGGAGCTGCGGAGCGTACTGGGCGAGGCGCTGCCAGACGTTCTTGTGCCACTGGCAAACGATGTCGTACGAGATGTAGAGCTGGACAATGTCGTCGTGGTGTTCGAGGCTTCTCCATAGCATGAAGTCCATATTGATGTATCTGGTCGTAATGTTAGTATTGAAGAAGCTCACGGACAAGGTGCTGCGTTTCACCTTTCTCCCTTCTGCAAATCCCCCACCCCGTTCGGGCGCTTCATGTTGTGCCGGGCGCAGTCGACTGTTCCTACTCCAGAGGACGCCGTCCCCCGTGCCTCTCGGTCGGGCTCGTCCACCGCGTCGTGCGCGACGCAGGTGCTTTTCTGCCAAGCTTATCAGTATCATTCGCAATCAATGTCGCGCGCCGTACCTCCTGCTCAAGATTCCAATGTTTCTCCAGATGCTGCATATACTCCTCTACGCGGGCGAAGAATGCTACGCCATCCCCCAGCGAAGGATCCTCCTCTTCGCTCGAGACATCTCTCCTCTTCATCCGGAAATTGGCGTCGATTGCCAGAAACAGCGCGTAGAGGAAGCGCCTCTCACGTGGCACGTTCCTCCATGAGCCGTCCACAGGCAAGTTCTTCCCTGGCTGGGGACACGCCGGACACAACAGCGCGCACTCGCCCGGTTTCGTCCCCGCAATCCCGTCCGCAGCATGCCCTCGCCCAGCGCGCTTGAACATCTGCAGATTGTGCCATTGCCGAGTCATGCGACGGAATTCTGCATATCGCGACTGTGAAGCCTGTTAGCGTTAACGTTTGGATATCGAAAAGAGACCCACCCGAGGCTGGAAAACACCGTTGTTGTTGGTCTGGCGCGCTAGCTTGTTGTAGTAGTGGTAGGCCGATGCCTTTGCCTCGAAACAAAGCAGATGGTAGTCGCGTAGGACGCGGAAAGTCGCCGCAGTCGCGGGGTTGGTGATGGTCGCTGGATACAGTCGCGCACGTAGCAACTGTATGTCATGTGCCTCTGCCAGGCTGCAGCTGCAGAAGTCGACGGTGACCTCATGCACACCGTTGACGTCGACGATACAGAAGCCCTCGCGCGCAGGTGATGCCGCACCAGCACTCTCGCTCGGACTAGCCGGCGGAGAACTGGAACCCGCCGCTTGCGCCGCTGATGCCTCCCTTGCCAGCCTCGCGACCGTCCCCGTGCAGGTCCCGTTGCGTCCATGCCCCAGCTGGATCCGTAAGCCCAACGACTTGAGCGTCACAACTTGGAAGAAACAGCTGTCAGTCCAAGCCTAGCAGCCCGCCATTCAGTACGAGTTCGAATAAATGAACGACACACGTACCTCCACTCGATGGAGCGGGTTGTCCCTGTGCAAAGAAACGAGGCAGCCTTTGCAGAACAGCGCGTCGCTGAAGCAGTCTTTGCATCGATAAACCAAGTCACGGCCAGCCGTGCATGGACAGTTCGAGCATGTAGTCTGATTGCGAAACTCGCCCCGGCTCTCCAGACGTATCAGCTCGTCCAGAAAGCGGTCGCGCCGGCCCTTTTTCCACTGGGCCATAGGATTGTCCTTGGGCGGCATAGGTTAGCAGGATTCTACGCAGCCCCAGCACGGAAACGTACCGACTCGCGTTCCTTCCGGCGTACGTGCTCCAACGGATGTCCTTCATCGAATGCAAAAAAAATCCTCCCCTCCGAAAGAAAAGGGCATCGCGTCCCCCGCAGCCCAAGCAGATCCCGAAGCAGGCGGCTCATCGGGCTCCAGCATATCCCGCTCCGGGGCCCGTCTTTTGCCCGGAGACCCGGGTACCAACAGCTGGCTAACGACAATCTGCGTTCGGCCATCGCGGTCCTCTTGCAGGCTGCGGTGGTGTAGGATTTCCTCCCTCGGTATGGGAGTGGAGGTACTGGGCCCGGCCTCGCCCTCGCTCTCGCTGTCGGAGGCAACGGTGGTGTGCATCGTCCCCAGCTTGCGTTTCTGGCCAGCAGGCGGCATCGTTGAGAATGCGACGCGAGGATACGGTGTCGTGACTCAAAATTGATGAAAATTGCGTCTGAAGACTATTCATCAGAAACATCAAGATTGCAGAGTTGACGGATGGAGATGAGCCTACCTTCTTCGTTGTTACGCGCCCGGCATGTTGTCCTGCAACATGTCGGTGCGGTGGACATCAAGGCGGACGCCAGCGCCATGACACAGCGATCATCTCATCACAGTCACGTGTCATGATCGCCAGTTATGTCTACCTACCGCATTTTATGCATCGTAATCTCATTCTAACTACCTGTAGGTTTGTTTTGCAGTTTCTTGAAAGGCGAGTGAGGAGGGAGACACAGGAGGGGATAGGAAACTCTGGCGACCATCAAGCGACGATCAATCGGGAGCTCAAGCCCAGCATGGAGATCCTCACCGGGCTTACCTACCGCATCTCCAATTTATGATAGCTAGGTAGGTAGTATTACATGGAATTTTAACGAAAGGGCTTGAGGCGCGTGGTGCGCATCCTCACTATATATGTTGACTGTCAAAGATATGAGGAAGGTGTGGGTTCGAATCCCACCATGCCCTTCTTTTTCTCACTTACTCTAATATTTCCTGGGACTCGACGTTCCAAGCCCGTATTCCGAAGCTCAGGGAAACAGATGCAGGGGGGAGCGGAATTATTTTCCATTGGTAATTTGTATGACATCAAGACGCATATTGTGTAATTGAAAAAACGAAACAGCGCTGGTTGAGCAGCGCGCTCTTCCTCCTGACTAAGCAGTCCTACACCTGAAGAGTTGAGTAAGCATGGGTTGTATGTAGAAAAATCACAGGGAAACAGCCACCTTTTTTTTCTTGCGAGGCGCCTGGTTCTCGGAATCCGCCTTAGCTCGCTTCTTCCCCTTCGCCGCCTTTGCCATCTCTTCCTCCTTCTGCCTCGTCGACTCCTCTTGCATCCTCGTGCTTGGTCGTCTTACCCGAGATTCCCGCGGGGCTAAAACCTCTGGCTCGACAGGTATCCGTCTCGCTCCCAACGCAGCCGGCTCGGCAGGTATGGGTCTCCCACCCGAGGCAGCTGGTTCTCGAAGCAACGGCTCGTGAGCCGGGGGCGGGGGGCGGCATGTAGAACACGCCGTGGTCCCGATCGTGCGCCGCCCTTGCCGCTGCCGCGTCGCGTTCCCGCTCCCACGCCCGGATTTCTCGCATGCGCTCGGGAGATATCGTCTCAGCCTGAGGCGTCGCGACCGAACGTGCGACCCCCGCGCTCTCTGGAATGTCCTCCCCATCATCATTCCCTACTCTGCCGTGACCACCCCCTCGATTTCCCCCACGCCCACCGCCGCGGCCGCGTTTCCCACCGCGCTTCCCGCCGCGTTTCCCACCCCGTGCTGGCCCCGTACCGGCTTCCCGTCGGGCTACTGGTGCTACTGGGGCATTCGACATCGGCCTGGACTCCGGGAAATCATCAGGTGTCAAGGCTGAAGGCACCGTGGACGCCCGCAGCGGTGAGGGTGCAAATGGCCGGGTCGAAGTGAGGGCGGATGCCGGTGGAGACGGCGAGGGCGATGCCTGCGCCGAAGCCTGCGCAGTGAGAGCAGATGCCGGTGGAGACGCCGAGGGCATCGTGGTCTGCCGCAACAGCGAGGGCGCAGATGGCTGGGATGCCGGTGGAGACGGCGATGGCTCAGAAGCCTGCGCAGGTGTCGGCGGTAAGGAAACCGTTGATGCCGGCCCAGACGCTGTAGGTGAAGGCAACTCCGCCGCACGTGGGGGCTGAGTAGGCGCAGACGTCGTAGGTGAAGGCGACTCCGCCGCACGCGGGGGCTGAGTAGGCGCAGACGTCGTAGGTGAAGGCGACTCTGCCGCACGCGGGGGCTGAGTAGGCATAGTGCGCGTTGGGGCGCCGGCAGGACCGCGCCACGCGGGTCTTGGTGAAGGTCGCTGTGGCGTTATCAAGCCAGCTGGGGCTGGAGAAAAAAGCTTGCTCGCTGTCGAAATGGAAGTTGACTAGAGTCGATGTCAAGCTGTGGTGCGATGGAGAGTCGGCTGAAAGCGGTCGGAGTTCGAACTCGGCCTCAGGGCGGGGGAGTGTGCTCTCAGGCAGCCGCGAAACAGTGGCGTTCAGAAGGTCGGAGAGCTGCTCGTCGTGAAGGGGAGAACGCTGGGCTTGAAGAAGGAAATCCATAGCGACATCGTCAGGCGTCGAGAAGTCGAGTAGCAGAGGATCAATAGCGTCATCTCCAGCCGAGCGACCAGGATTTGAGTGAGGAGCGTTCGGGAGGGAAGGGGGATCATCCTCACCCAGGTCATCCCGATGGGGTTCATCCACAGCCGGCTCGGGTGCTGGACGAATAGTGTACAGCGCTCCATCCAAGGATATCGGATGCTCGCCTGCGACAGAAGGCTGAATTGTCTCCTCCTGCAGGTTCTCCGCACCACTCGAGCCCTCCCCCGGGTCTGGTGCAGCTCCAAGAGCACGCGCACGACGAGTTTTGTGATCTGCGATGTGGAAAGTCTCAGTCGACGCAAAATCCAAAGGAGACGAATACATACCGAAAACTTTCTTCCCAAACTGCTGGAGCGGCACAATAAATCCCTCGTTCCACGAGCTCACAGACTCAGCCATGCTTTGGCCAGACGAAGTGGTCCCATGGCAATAACTAGACGAAGTGGAAGTGAATAAGCGTGGCCCAATTGGGAAATCCGGTGTATAGCCACTAACTAACCTCTGCGTCGCGATCTGGCCGTTCGCCCTCGGCATAGGCCCAGTCAACATTGTCGTCCCAACCCACCCCGTCAGGTGAGTTACCAGACCATGGAACGTCTTCATCAACGGGTCAAGATTGTCCAAGCCTCTGTAGTCGAAATCGCATCAGCAATAATCTCGTCGCTCGAGCCGAAGACTCACTGCTGGAACTGCTCTGGCGTCTCGGATTTTGTGGGCACCGGCTTCTCCACCGTCTGAAGCGCGTACAGCTTGCGCACCTCCTCCATCTCCCCATCAGAGGCCTCCTCGAAAAGTTCCTTCTCGACGCGACGTCTAACGATCATCTGCTTTCTTGCGCCGTCGGCAACTCGGTCAGCCGCCTCTTTCTTTGTCTCGCCGGGTACGGGAGGAGACATGAGCGACGCAAAATCTGTCTCAGCGAGACCGGCCTTGATGAGCGATCTGTTCCGCTTTTGCCAAATCTCCCGCAGCTGTTTCTTCCTCTTGCCGCCTGTGCCCCCAAGAAGCGCTGACGCGAGCTGCTCCATAGCGTTGGAGGCGGTGGAGCTAGATTCCGGGGCGTTTGCCAGGCGCTTTTGCTTCTGAGCTCGATTGTTAAACCAGTTGTGAATCATCTAACAAATTATTCATCAGAATCTCGTCGTGCGCGTCGCGTCAAAAAAAAAAAAAAAACCGACCCCCTTGGTTTTGGCCTCAGCCTCACCCAGCAGCTTCTGTTCGGCATCCGTCAGCCCGGAGTCTTCAATGGACCTGTCCACGACGTGCAGCCCCAGATTGGGCTCCTCTGGCCACAAGGCAAAATAGCCTCGCTCAACGGTCGGCCAGAACGTGGCAAGATTGGGCTGCTTGGCAAGGAAATCCGGTAGATGAGACTCCAGATACGAGGTTTGCTCTGGTGAGCGTTTCGTCTTGGGTCCCCTCGTCTTCGCCATCGAGTGCCAGAATCGAGAATGGTATCTGCCGGGGCAGCTTGGTCGGTGAGGCCCCGACGGGACAGAAATCCGCGAGAGGACTGACGGTGGGGGAACACAGCAGTTTACGCAGCAGTTATGCGGCAAGGAGAGGCGCAAGTCTCCAAGGTTTGTCTCGTGAATATTATATTCTTAATATCTAATCCACAATCTCACATCAATTATTTCGGTTTCATTCGGAAGAAGATCAATCGCCCAGAGCTTCGTTGCGCTGGGAAAACCATCAATCGCTCGGATCTCAAGATGGGCTCCATTCGGTCGTACGATCGCATGGTGCATCGTGACTCTCCTTGAACTTCACCATGCACATCCACACCGACATCCACAGCTACGCAGGCCCCGCCTCAACGAGCCCCATGACATCGACCACTACCGCCGCCACTGCGTCAGATCTACCCTCTGCAGGCGGTGAGGTCGAAGGCCTCCTCTCGCTTGTCGATCGTCTCAGTTCGACGGCGATGGAGGCCATGCGCCTTGCTGAGGAGGTACGAGGTGGGTGTACCGGAACTGCTGAGCATCGCCCGTCAAACTAAAGATGTTTATAGCAACCATCCCGGGCGTTATTGCCAACGAAGTTGCCCGCGCGTCCGCTGCCGCCTCTCCGGCTTACGGCGCTGGTCCGTTGTGGCTTGGTGGTGTCTCCCGGACGCCAGCCGAGCTCGAGGCTGCGCATCCCGAGGGAACTGGGGAGATCTGGTATGTGGTCGTGTGTGGGCGCGAGCCCGGCATGTATCATTCGCCGTCAGTCATCTCTCGGTACCTATTCTATGCACTGATTTTCGACTTTCTCTTGCAGGGATGAAGCAAATCGCCTTTGCGATGGTGTGCCGGGCAACCAGAAGCAGCGGAAGAAGTCGCGGCGTGAGGCGCTTGCCTGGTATCGGGAGGAGTACGAGCGGGGCAATGTGCAGAAATGGACCGAGGTGACTGAGGCGTAATACTTTACTTAACAAAATACATTCCATTTCGAATTCATCTGCGGTAGCTTGAAAGTTCAGCGAGTGAAAAAAATTGTTCATTGAGCAAGCGGGCTATAGCAATAAGTTTAAATCTAATGGATTCGCTGTTGAGCTCGGGCTATCTTTTTTTGAGCTCGGGCTGTCTTTTCAACCTCCCTGTCCGCATCAGCTTGTGCCTTCTCCCCACGCCGTCTCGCGACGAACACATCCGTGTATGCCATTAAACTCAGCATTCGCGTTGAAGGGACCATTGTGCTCGGGGTTGACAACGGAGTGAAGCGCGCGTTGAGTGGGGGGCGGTTTGAGGTGCTGTTTAATTGGGTGGATAAATGAGAGAAGTATTCGTGGACCAGCAGAGCGTGCGCACCAAACGAGGCCATGTGCTTGAACAGGCGTTATCGGTCTTATGATATCGGGCGCTGGATGGCCCGCGATTTCCGAGATGTTTCTAGGCCGTGGAATTAACTCCATTGAGCCTGATGGATCGCAACGCACTCACCGAAGGCCGCTTGCTGACTCGACATCTGACGAGAAATCGACATCCTCAACTGGTACGGTGTCCCTAGGGCAGAAAGGGTTAGAACAGCGCGAGGGTGAGTATCAGAGACACTTACTGCCAGTGCTGGAATGGGTCTGGTGCATCGCCGTTGCTATTGAAGGCACGATCAGTTCACCATGATCTGCAGTCGGAAGAGATCTATAGCTACCGGTGTGGGCCAGGACTTCGCGAAGACCGATGCCGCCACATGCCCGCCAATGTTTCAGTTGCCTCGCGCTCCGCATCACGCATACTGCGCTCCACGAGACGGTCTAAGTCGGAGTCGCTGGGTAGTGAGCTGCAGCTGCCTGCTGCAGATTTTGCCGTGCGAGAGGTCGCCTTTGTCGTGCGGGGTTGGGCAGACTTTTTTTCAGGGCGAGGTTTGTCCG